CGGCCATTCACAACTTTATTTTGGGCAATTACAAAACAAAACAAAAAAAATCCCAAATAAGTTCCGGTGGGCTTCTGAATTTATGTGTTACATGGTTGATGGGTAATATGAATATTTTAACCCCCTGTATAAGCTTTGCCTATCAGAAGAGGTGAGTGCATTGTGAATAAAAACCCCAGTGTTTTCAGATGATTAACTTTCTTTTCTGGCAGCAATAAACACAAAAGAATTCAAGCCTCTTTGGATAGAGGCCTTTCTTAGCATGTCATTCAATTCAAGTGCTGTGGATTGAGGCATCTGCTTAGCTTAGGTAAGGTTATCATGAATGGAACGAATTCTACGAGGCATTATTGATCCAACCCACAATTTCATACAAAGCCCCATATTCACAATAAAATTATTGTAGGAGCACGGTCACTTCCTCTCTTTCGAGGCTTAACACAGAACTCTCTGGAGGACCTGCTCCGTGACTTTACTTATTACTTATTCAGTCCCCCTCGGGCCATATCATAAATGCCATCATATGCAAAAAAGGATTTGTGAAAACCCTGTGGCATAAATTGAGTTGAGATGGCTAAAAAACCCGAGTCTTTCATTACTTGAAATAACCTTTGCACTTGCCGCATGTGGTGACTTACATACAGCCTGGAGATTCCATTTTTTTTTGCAATCAACGGTGCTTATCTAACTTGTTTTATAAAAATAAATGCTGTGGAAGTACACAGTAAACTATGTTTTATTGTGACTGTATTATAAGAATTATTAGCTCCCTTTTTTTTGTTGTTCTTGCCTTCTTGTTTGTCTTCTTGTGGTGTATACAGCCTAGTGCAGCGAGTCATCTAATTCCTCAGACCAACCAAACAACTACATATACATGTGGTAAGATGGGAGTTTGGGGCAAGACAGATCACACCAGGGCATTGAGCTGTATAGTGTAAGAACAGATATCATGACCTGTGCACTTTTAAAGCCTTCAGTTTTGTTATAGTTTGAGCAGTAGCTGAGAACGACGATTGGAAATATTGTATAGTGCATGCTCACTTTAAGAAAGAAGCAGGGACTACTGTGCTTGAGGGGAGTCAGTACAAATTACTAGTCAGAGGCAAGATGATGATGTCAATTTCCGATAACAATTGGAAATGACCCCTCAGACTCCAGACTCTTTACAAACTATGGTATATCTACCTGATTTAGTACCTCAAATGGAAGTGGCACAATTCTGAACTTTTTGGATGTGAAAACATCCGAATTGGGCTGTTTGATTGCCATGAAAAAGTCAGATATGAGTCTCAATGTTAATTGAAACTCATTGTGATTCGCAAAGTGAAAAAAGCCTTTGTTAAAAGAGAAAAGCCAACACACAAGAGTGTTTTAGCTAAACATAGCCCCATATTGAAGCACATTCCTGAGAAATTACATTAGCAGTCTCATCATTACACCAAACCAGAGAGGGCAGCAATTTATTAAAATATTGCAAGTCATTGTTTTGCATCTGACTTGAAATTCAACTCAAAGCGTAAGCTTCTATGTGCTTAAAAAAGTCTGGTTACCTCTGATTTAAGCCCTTTTATGACTTCTTTATCTCCATTACTTTTTTTTTTATTCAAGAATAAGAATAGCCTGATTTCTGATGATGAAGCTTAGTAATTTGCTTTATAAAAGGTACATGTTATTGTAACTTTGTATTAAAGTAATGTCTTACATAATTTTTACTGCTGGATAGAGATTTGAAGCTTATTCACATTTTTATCATTAGATCAAAGAAGACATATAAATCTTCTGCTTATAAAAGTTATGAGTAGCTTGCAAGACTAAGAACACCATTCCAGTGCACATTACTAGCTTGTTTTTCTCTCTGCATTCGATCAAAAATGGATTTGCATCTTAGTTTAAATTGTGAGTATTAATAGACAAATATAATAATTTTGGGAGATGAAAGAGTCGCTCCTTTATAAGGAGCTGCAATTCCCTTCACTAGTAAAAACAAACTAAAAAAACTACAAGGAAAATGCTCTAATATTTAAGACAAAATACAGAATTAAAGGACCTTACAATATTTGAATAAGATAAACTATAAACACATTGGACATAACAATTTGCAGGCTTTATCTGATGAATTAACATTTCTTAAATATTACCCTCTCTATGTATTTACGCCAGGCTCACAATGAACACAGGCAGCTGTGGTGTGAGGACAGCAAAGAACCCAAGTCACTGAAGTCAGCACGTATTTTCACATCATGCACAGTGCAGTGTGGGTCTGGTTACCGAGCAGCTTAAATGTGTGATAACTCAAGAAGGAGTTTAGCTGCAATGGTCTGCATCAATCTCCTGAATCCCACAAGCTAAACAGGAAAAGTAGGCAGCAGAGGAAAACGAGTCCTGGTGAATTTCGGAAATACATAAATCCAAGAACCTACACGGTAAATGGCCTGTACTTATATAGAACATTTTCAAGTCAGGAGACTTGACCAAAGCTGTTTACACTGCAAACCCCCACAAACACGCACATGCATGGTTGCAGGGCAAACTCCTGAATCCAGCGCCATTGTCGCCCTGATAATATACTATACTAAGTTGACTAGGGAAAATAAAATGACAAAACAGAATTAGGAGGAAACAGGTGGGACTATTGGAGGATGTAAAGGGCACTTATGTGCACAAATAGCTTGCTTTGCCCTAGAAGCTTTAGAAAGAGCTTAAACCCACATAAACCTCTTTGTTGTGAACAACTATTATGCAGCTGTAGCTGGGCCAGCCAGGTCAAGCCGTTTGTGTGAGCACCTTTGTGCTGTATGCCTGCACTGCACCATGGTTAATGTGAGCACAGAATGATCATAAACTACTTAGTTTGTCCTAAATTTGGCCAAATACTACGCATTTGTTGCAAGATATGAAAGATCCTGTTTTAAAATAGAACTAACAGTACCATCATTCTCAATTTCAAACATTTAAAATTGAGTAAACCAAAGAATAAAGTCAACTAAAACTCATAGAATCCTATTCTCATGTGGGTTAAATATAACATGTTGTATATTGGGACTTATTCTTTTTACAGCAAAGTATAAGAAAAACACAACTTTATCCTTTATAGGGAAAGTTTCTGTAAATGAAAAAAAAGCTAATTGAAAAGTTAAAAGTTTAATAAGCCTAATTAACAATTATATTTAGGGTTATAAACTAAAAAATGTAAGTTCCAGTATCAGGATTATTGCCTCTAAGAGTGTTTTTCATTAATTTCTTATAGAAGCACTTTTTTTATTTTTCTTAATTTAATTGGGCAAGTTGCCATTTCTTGTTATTACATTCACATTCATTTTTGCCATCAAAATAACCATATCGTTTGAATGTTACAAAGGTAATAAGGTCTTGTCCTGGATTCCAATAACACCATTGGTTTGATATTTTTATTTTCAAAGTATTTCACTGAATACCCTTTAAAGGGTTAAACACATTTCTGATCATTTCATTTATTATCGCCTCCTACTGGTGTGTTTGTTCATTACTTTCACCAAGGACTTTATGTTTTTAGGACCGTTTTTGTGTCTCTCTGTGTAAAAGATAACTTGAAAAGTTATGGCAGATTTTTTAGCACATTTTTATCAGAGGTTTCCCTCTTGCCAAGGAACAATCATTTTGCTGATGATCCAGATCGTAATCTGGATACATGAATTTCTTAAAAGTTTCTCCAACATTGTAAGATAGGGATATTTGGCAGAACAAGCAGTTCCACACTAAACCAGATGATGACAGCGGTGACAATTGACAGCCTCAGAATTGAACTAAAAAAGTCCAGAGGTATTTAAGCGAAGACAAAAACACAAGAAAAAGGTACTTTGAGGGTTTGTCAGCAGAATCAATTATAACTTATAAACAGATTTTATGGCAATTTTTTTTACCAGAGGTGTGCCTCATGCCAAGGAAAGTAATTCAAATTCGGTAATGATCCAGATCATGTTTTAGTTAAATTGCTGCTTAGCAGAGGGCTGCACTCCAAGGGCTTTTCTATTTCAAACGGTAATCCTCAAAGGGGTTTCTACAGCTCAGGTAGCTAACTAGCTTTACATCCATGTTAAAAAACAGAAAATTCTCAGCAACTTGTGTTTTTTTTCCCAAGGCAATCACATGAACAAGCATTACTGTAAATGAAACAGCACATTTCTACGGTAACCTTTTAAATGGATGAAACTTCCGAGGCAATTTTCCATAGTGGCCTTCAAACCATTAAACCTCAACAACCTTTGTCATTTATTCATGTATTCCAAAGAAATTATTTTAGAGAGAGACACATATCTGTATGTGCATATTGAGCTTTTGCAATCCCACCAAGTAGCCTAATGATTGCCGTGAATTCCTCATTGAAAGTGTATTGAAGATGCAGACAGGTTGTAGAAAAGTCAAACACAACAGCACAAGTTATTTCAATAATTATAGAAAAATCACCTCTCATACATCTGCCAAGTTTATAAAATAATATGCACTTTGCTCATGGCTAATTATGTTTTGAAATTAAAATTTTTATATATTTATAATCAAAACGTTTTATATAAGAACAAAAAAGTGGTCAGGGAGTTAAAGCTGATGGAGCAATGTCTCTAGAGGAACCACAAAGCGTTTCGAATCCCATTTTAAAAAACCCAGCTGGGGGAAGCTGCTTAATATCCACTCAAGCCAGAACCAGAGCCCCGAGCTGCTCGTGCACCACTGCATCCAGCAGATCTGGTAAGATGCAGATAGTCTCGTAGGGTCCTCTGCCCATTCCACAGTGAAACTTCACTGGAGGCATCAACAGTGTTGTTGTAAATACATTATGTGTGGCCAATACTGGAGGCAAGTTTTGAATCATGGGAGGCACAGAAAAAAAAAACATAGTTTTGGTTAGTGAAAGAAAGAAAAAACAAAGAAAGGAGATACTGTATAGCAAAGACCAGTTAGTTGAAAACCGTAGTGACAGCATCAGACATTTTAAAAACAAAAGCTGTTTTTTTTGTTTTTTTCAGTAAGACATTCAGTTCGTTCTTCAGTTACTGGCACCTCCAGGGAAAATGTACAAAACAATCTTGAAGTGCTACTCCAATATGTTCTCCACTAACTCTTCAATGGTGAGCTATCAAGATTAATTTTTTTACCTTCCTCCTCATGTGTGCAAGATGGGTATGAGAACCCAGGGTTAATCCCCAGCCTCATTAGTCACAATTCTCTATGTTTTTAACTGTCTATTTTCTTGCCCTAATTGTTGACTGGTATATCTGTCTAAAAAATTGGTGCAACAGGATGATACCCAACTTTGGCATTCCACATATATACTACTTGCATCAACACACACACACATATATATATATATATATATATATATATATATATATATATATATATATATATATATATATATATATATATATATATATATATATATATATATATATATATATATATATATATATATATATATATATATATATATATATATATATATATATTATTTTTATTTTTTTTGACTGCTATGTTCTAAAAAAAATTAAAAAAATTCAGGATGATGCAAATATACAGTAGGTGCACACAATTAGTAAACACCCTATTTCTGTCTATTTCTGTGTAGATGATTAACTGTTTATTTCTTTTGCTGAGGTTGAAGAAACTAGCTCTGGAGAGAAAACACCAGAAAGTCATCAATCAGGCTGCTGGAAAAGGGTAAGCTCACTCTGGAGAAGTTTTCAAGTTCTTAAAGCTCAACTGTTTAAAGGCTATTTGGCTGTCAGGATGTGTAGCTTTCATATTTGTGGGAGAGTGTGGCCTAGTGGTTAGGGCATTGCTTTTGGAATCCAGATGTTCTCAGTGCATGCCCCACTCCCACGGACCGATACTCTGGGACCTTGAGCAAGACCCTTAACTCCACACTCACCCCCACAATGGCAGCTCCCCAAAGGGTGGGTTAAATTCAGAGAGTTCATTTCGTTGCTTTGTACTTAATGACAAAAAAAAAAAAAAAAGTTTTGTTGTAGTTATAATTTGTAGGTTTAAATTAGTGATCTAGGCTACTTTCTTGTTGTTAGTTTCCTCTCACCTTCCTTTTTTTGTAGGTTTGCTTGAGTGCTTAGAAACTTGTCTGTGTGGTCATTGTGAGAAGTCGGTTCTTGTTTGTTATCTTTATCTTTTCCTTGGTTCATATGTTCTTCTGGGCCTATTCTTTTGGATTTAAACCATTTAAAGCCAAGTGTGTCATATCTGATACATGAGTTTTGATAACTCTGCATCATCAGTGTGATATTTTGGTTCTTGAAAACCCTGATCCTTACACAATTCTTTTGTCAGAAAGTTCAATGAAACTCTAATTCTGGTAAATTATGAAAAGTGGAAACCAATGAAAGAGCTTTCTCAGGAAATTACATTAAAAGAAAATTATAGACAGGCATTTAGCAACTTTATTTGAAAACAGTTCTGTAGCTCCTGCCATTTTTTTTTTTGTGTGGATGCTCTGATAGGATGTGTTTCTCTACCTAGTTGTAGAGATTAGGATGCTAAACTTCTGCTACAAAGTGAGAGAAGGGTGATCTTAACCTCATATTTCAGTTAGTGGAGTACAAGAGAAGACGACAATTAAAAACAGAGAGAAACCGATCACAAATCTACAACCTGTACTTTATAATTTTCTTGTAAGCTTGCACCCCTCCATATTTTTCTTGATTAAAGTAAAATTCTTTAGTTTATCTACAAATGCCATACATTGCAATTGAATAAAAAGTAACTTCTTTCTCAGAAAACGACATTTATTTTAACGCTTTAATGCAGAAAATGCTCAATAGGGCCTTTGAGATAGCAATATCGTTTATTGAAAACATTCTTGCAGAAAAGCTATTAAATCTTAACATTTTCTATTTTCTTTAGTCATACAATTTTTTTTTTTTTTTTTTTTTTTTTTTTTTTATAATGTGTATTGTACTTTGTATCATGCTAACAAATTTGTGGGACAATGCAAGGATTGCAATTGCATCTCATAAAGGGTGACAAGATAATTTGCATACATTTGAAAAGTCTTTCAGAAAAAGAAAAAAAATAACAAGGAACAAATATAATTCCTGTGAAAACAAACTGACATTGTTGAAGACCTTCTTTTCCTCCTATTACTCATAATATTAACCTTGGCTTGCAAACTGAGTGCAGATAATCAGTAGTTTTGACATATTTGCCTCTAATCTGGTTATTTTTTCCTGGGGAAATGTGTACAGGAGATGGAATTTCTCTCCTCGCTAAATGGATGACAGAAATAGTTAGGATGGTACTGGTATGAGGACTTGTTTTCTCGGATGGGATAGCAATCACCAGTCACAAAGGCTTGTCTGCTACAGCTGGCAAGGAAAAGCATCACACTGTGTGGTATTTTGATAAAAGGAGTTTAACTGTCAGAAGCAAAATGGGAAAACTAATTACAAGCGTGAGCTGATTTCCTGGTTCAAGCCCTCCACAGCAGTGGCTCTCCCCAAGCGCAGCACATGATTGTTAAACTAAAAAAAGGTACATGTTCCTGAGGAGGTTCACCAGGGATGGTCTAAATGAGTAGAATTGAGTCCAATGAAATAAGTGTGCCCCTTTTTAGTGGGAGCAGGTCTGTAAGGTCCAACGAAAGGAAAATGGTCTCTGCGGCAATGACAACAGCAATTTACAATTCTGTACTTCCTTCCTGTCAGGGTTTCATTGCAAATCTATAGTCCCACATCGTAGCACTGGCCTTTTGTCTTGAAATGCTATTACATTGAAGATAACGTTTGCAAAATCTCTGGATAGACTTAATGGTTGCTGAAGCAGGTCTACCCGTTTGTGCAGCCTTACTCGACAGCATATTGTTGTTTCTCCTGAGTCATTTATTACATTGACAAAACAATGGTGACATAAGCTCTTCTTTGTCAGGCCTGAGGTAAGTTAATTAATTAGCGATCCATGCCATGGAGCCAGGAGGTTGTTGATTGTATCATTCTAAGCCGTCATCCCATGTAAATTAAATGAGATTGAGATCTAACAAGGCTCTGACCTGGATCCCTTCCTAATAACCAGATGTATGAAACATTGATGCAGGGATTTAAAAGAGGCAAGAGGACATGTTATCTTTAGCAGGGCCATCAACTTTACCATGTATGGTCAGGTTCTTACTGCTCTAGAAATAAACTGTTGGTGTTACATTAAAAACATGTAATTTTAATTTCTTTTATAAGAGTTTAAGCACTATATCTTAATTTGTAATAACTCACTGCATCAGTGTTTTATATATTAAAAAGGTAACATTATGTTGTCTTTTTGCCTTTAAGAAAATATGATCAATTAAAAAAAAGCATTGTCCACAGAAAAACTTTGACCTTTATTTGCCAATGCCCCACATTCAGAACATGTTTTTAACTTGTTGTAGATGTGACTTGAGTGACTAAAGAACTAAATGATGTGCTTTAAAGAGAGTCTTCATTGCTGCAGGAGGTAACTGAAAGTTTTCCTGCTGTAAAGAGTTAGGATAGTTGTTTTTAGATCCAAAGTCTCTTACTTTAGCTGGTTCACTTTAGATTAGTCCACTCCTGTCTCTATTCTACCAGAGGTGGATTCCAACAATCCAACAAACAGCGACTCACCTGCTGGCAGTTGGTAGGTTTTTGATGCCTGTGTAGCTTTATATATATTGTGTAAAAGACTGAGGAACAATGGTAAATGAATCCATGTCACATCATGTCATTGAAATGATGGTGTCGGGATCTGGAGATCTGCCACCTGTCTCCAGCAGAGAGCGCTGTGGGCTTCCTGAGCTGGAGTCCTCAGCACACCTGGGGATCATCAGCTCATCAGAAGACCTCCCTACATAAGCAGCAGTCAGACCTTCCTTCCACGCCGAAGTGTTGACCTAGCTTGGTTAGCGAATCTGAGCCTCTGAAACCCTAGTGAATACTAGTTGCCTCTTGAGAGAAACTAGGCCTTCTAACTTGTTCTTGTCTTCTTTGCTCGCAGAAACCCGACTGAAGTCTGAAGCTCTGGATGAGCATAACCTGGAAATCTGCCTGTCTGCCCACGTAAGCCAAACCTGAAGATCTCAGTCTGGATTCCTCCGTCAGTTCTCTGGGAAGAGCTAGGAAATAAACCCAAGTCCGAAAACCCTCTGGCTTGAAGCTAGACGCTGCTGCTGCTGAGCTCTCTGCTACTTCCACAGTCTCTGGACCCAACCGATTCCCCCTCTCAAAGGATCTGTTAGAACCTCTTCTAGGTACGATCAGAATTCAACTCACTCGTCAAGCCATAACCACCTGGCTAACCAAACTCTCATCTCTCCAGATATAAGAGTAACCAGTCCCGGACCTGCACCAGAACCAGTTCCTGATTAACTCTGTGTATGTTTCCCAAATAAACATTGTTAAACTTTCCTCTGTCTCCGTTAGTGTTCTGCATGTGGGTTTTCGTTCATTAAACCAATCATGACAGATGGTAGAAGTTTTTTTGTTTTTTTTTCAAATGCCTCTATTACAGCTTTAAAAGGGTTTAAATCCATAAAAATATAAGATTTATGTAAAACCTTGCCCAGATAGCCTGATTTTTATTTAAAAAAATACTTATTTGTAGTCTTTCATTATTCAAAGTGTCAAAATATTATGTTATGCAACTATCCAGCCTTGTCCAGCTCTTTGAAATTATTTTAAAATTATTTCTTAAAATCACTTTCCGCCATTTTCATGTGTTTTGTAACCATGTATGAGATGCTAAATATGACAAATTTTATTGTTATAATTTCATGGGAACTTCCTCTAATGATTTTTTTTTTTAAATATCATGGGTTGTGAGCATCCAATAATCACTATTTTGGGACTTTTATTTTTGAAATGTTTCCAAGAACAGAAAATAGCAGCATACAGTACACTATCAAGTACACATGGAGGCAAATAACAGGTTTGTTACTCTGTCTAAACTTGGATAAAAAATAACTTTCGTCTGGTTTGTTTCCCAAATTTGCTCATCATATGACCTTAAAAAGTAATTGATGTTTAATATTCGTCACATTTATAGAAGGCTGTTAGTATTAGCCTAGCAAGCTGGGAGCAGCAAACACAACTGTGGCAAATCAGACCCTCTCTCTTTTTCCCCAACCAGCACTCACTCTTTTTAAGTTAGTCTTAATTGTCTTTACTCGTATATTAACATGGTGATTTCCTCATAACCTACCTAATGTTTGAATAATAATGAATGTGAAGCTGCAGATGTGACTCAAGGTGGAGCAGCAACCATCCAGAGTGTCAGAGCTATATAAAACAAACTTTTTATGTTTATTGGTTTTGATGAAAATAAACATAGTAGCTTTACTCTTCCTCATTGAAGTTGTTTTTCTTGTCTCAAGATTTGAAATTTGCTCAAACAGCATCAAACAGCACTTTGATACTTAGGTGATAAGAATATGGGAAGTTTTATCAACTTCAGATCTAAGTTTAGTAGCTATGCATGTAAAAGTTATTCTATGTATTATTATTTAATCTACTTTATTATGTGTTGTTCCATCATCTGTTTGATCAACTGGTTCTAATCCAAGGAAGAATGATTCTCAGAAAGTGTACAAAAAGAAGAAAACCTCTTTAAGTATTAACAGAATTTATTCCAGTATTGTTTAACAAAATCCTTTATGTAAGCAGAAGTTGCAGATTAAGTTTTGATCTTCTTTGTTTTAGGCCTGTCTTCTGACCATAGCACTTGGAACAGTTTAATGGCCCAGAACTACTATGTCTTTTCCAATTGATCCAAAAATGCCACACCCAGCCAGGAGGTGCCTCTTCCAAAGTCTCAAGAGTCGGTATCCTTACTTTTACCCCAAAGCATTACCAAATAATGTGATGCTAGAGCCTCTAAGGTCATGACAGGTCAAATAATCGAATGCCCATCTGTCTGTTTTATTACCATACACTGACATGAGTAGTAATATAAAATTAAGATAAATTCATGTTCACGTCATGTAATTTACTTATGCAACAATGTCTGACCATTTCTATTTTAAAGTGTTTAATATTATTCTTATGAGTGCAATGACATTGTAAGTTGCTATACCAGTGCAAATAATGTAAAAATAACAAGACTGTCTGCAAATAAATAACACTCCAAATAAGATGCTTAAGGTGAAAAAAAGCACAAATCCAGATAAATATGTCTGCTAATTAACTCAATTCATAGTCATCCAGGTTTTTATATCTTCAAGACGTCAAAGATGAAGTTGAGATTCATCAGCATAACAGTGGAAATCAATCCCTTGCTGTCTAATAATTCTACCAATTGGGAGCATATACTGTATATAGTAAACATCATTGACCCTAGCATTGATCCTTGTGATACTCCACAGGTAACCGTGGAGCTTGAGGAAGAGTTAGTATGAACAAACAAAAATCTATCAGATAAATAATGTTTAAACCTTTTTAGTGCTGTGCCCTTGATTCCTACAAAATGTTCAAGTTTATCTAAAAGAATACTATGATCAACTGAATCAAATAAGTCACTGAGATCTAACAGGACCAGTACAGATACAAGGCTTTTATCTGAAGCCATGAGAATATCATTCGTGACTTTCACTAGTGCACCAGTAAGTTGATAGCCCAATATTACGATGGAGTCATGGCATCTGGACTAAAAAGGGTACAATTTTTATGCTTATTGAAATATTTTGAAAAAAATTTTTTACATTAGAAATATTAATCAATTTAAACAATTCTATAAAATGTACATCATTCATTCATTTATTTGGTTTATTTTAATTTCATTTTTGGTGTTTTATATCATTCTCTTTATGTCTTGAGAAAGTCAGCAAAACAAATAGTCTGAGCGGCGATGCAGAGAAAAACTGCACACTAGATCTCATATTTGTATTCCAAATTATAGTGACAGTAATGTGGGATACAGGAGTCTGACCTGCAAGGTTGTAGGGGTTGATGGTTCAAGCTCCAGCTCCTGGTATCAATGTCATTTTGCGCTTGGACAAACACTTGCATTGCCTAATGACGATGGTCAGAGGGCCTGTTGGCACCTGTGCCCCAGGGGAGCTGTGGCTACAATGTAACTTGCCATTATCAGTGTGTGCGTGAATAGATGAATGACTAGATGTAATGTAAAGTCCTTTGGTCAAGTCTCCTGCTTTTGAAAAACTGTGATAAATCTACTGGCCATTTACAGCAATGGAAAGCATTAAGAAACATTGAATTACTCAGGCATTGAAACTTACTTAGTATTACATGCATACATTCACACAAAGATGAACTATGTAGTACTTCTACCTGCTTCCTCTGGCTCTCTGACTGATTCTGGGCTGCCTGTACTCACATCCATGTTTTATAATTTTTGCATTTTAGCATGTAGAAACATTAGTAATCGTAAATCTTTAATAGTATAATATATTTCCTTTATTTACAGTATTTTATTTCATCTGTGTTGTTCCCTTGTGACAGGAGGTGTGCATTGAGAGGACAATTTACTACTGATCTTTTTGGGGAGGTTGCACTGTGTGCATAAGAAATGGATAGTCTGCCACATTTCAATTAATTCAGCTCCTTCTCATTTTGGACATACAACATGTGTAAATCACATTCAGGCAATTATATTCATTACTTATTTTACAAAACAGACTAACAGATTACTTATGTGTTTCTTGAAACTCCTATTTTGAAATGCTACAAGTCTCATCCTGAAGTCTTCCTTTTATACAAATGTCCTGTGTCTTGTTGGGTCACCCAAGGGAGAAAATGTCAAGCAGCAGAGTAAAACAGTCCTGCTGTTAAATTTATGCAAAACTCAAACAGCAATTTCATATTAGTTTCAGTCTCCACAGGTATTGTACCCTAAGGCTGATATGGTAATGAGATTACCCATCTCCCTAATTATTATGTATGGTCAGTGTTATCTCAGACACAATTTGGTATAGTTAATATACTGTGGTTTAGCATGTTGTACCTTTATGTTACTCAATAATTAATCAGATAACTTTTGCTCTGACATGTGTTGTTCTATGAACACGGATGTGGTACAATCTGAGTCCAACTGTTATGTTTTAGATTTTGTTTCCTCTCCGATGATGTGACTGAATTTCCTGACGATTCTGTTTAGGTGTGTTACATTCATGCTGGTGCCCCATCAAATATCAATGCATTGGCCACAATATACTCATAAAACACCATTAATATTGTTCGGGAAATTTGGAGGGACTAGACGTGTTAGCAGGTAAAACCGAATTAGAGACACAAAATGAACATGGTAGCCCTGATCCTTAAATAAATATGTTAGAAAATGTAACATAAAATAGCTCTATAGGTGCTCTACATATGAAAGAAACAATTAAGAAGATGAGCTCTGAGCCTGTTTTCAAGTCAAGAAGGATGAAAGAGAGCACATACTGTACAACACACCAGAAGCTGAGCCCATATCTTTCTCTAGATGAGAAACAGGACCAAGCATTGAAAAACAGGCCAAACCATCATCAATGAAGAGAAGTTGTTTATGGCAGAACTCCAGCCTATGGCTCACTACAGGATCCGGTCATATCTAAACGAGTACTAGGCTAGATAAAGCTACCATGAAGGGAAAAAACAAAACATAAAAATATAGAAGCATCATCAGTATCTATGCTGCCTTCAGGAGAGAGGAGCATCAGTGTATCATCTGTAAAATTCACACACATGGCATTTGGCATTTAAACAATTAGCATTTACTTGTTGTATTTCCTGTGAAATAATTTCTTTCTATTAAAGAGGTTAATCTCTCTGAGGGATAAACCTTGAGAGCATTGTTTTCAAAGTATACTTTTGGTACTTCTAGCAGGGGCAGCACAGGGACCAAATATGCCACGTGTTATCCAGTTCTCTGGGGGACGACCAGGCTGATTGTTATTGCTTTGTGGACCACTTATCGTGCTGAGCAGGGATTCAGACAGGTCCTTCACATGCATCCCTACAGTAGAACTACACTTGCTCTAACTTAGCTGATTCAGGCTGAAACTGGGGGAGGTGATATTAAGGGAGCCCTTAAATGGATAGGGGTCACTTGTGCAAAAAGGTTGAGAACCAATAGGTACTGCAGATCTTTAAAGGAAAATATTCTGCGGGGCTAATCAAAGGAATAAATACTTACCAGTTTTTTTTTTTGTTTGTTTGTTTGTTTTTTAATGCAGCAAAAAGAAGTCAAACCACTGAGGGCCGGATCTATCAAAGGTTTGCGTGTATAAAAACGTGAGCTATTTCACTGCGCACGCTAAAAAATGTACAAACTGATCTATCAACAGCGTGCTAAAAGGATTTGGTCTTTAAAACGCGCTAAATAGCGCCTCTTATCCATTTAATACTTTTTCTGCTATGAATATGCAATATGGGGCGTTTACACGCAAAAGTGCGTCTTGTGGGAGGAGAACATGTAAATATATTAATTTAGCACTCGCAAAGTGATTTATCAAACCTGA